AAGCTGTATATGGGTCCTATATATATTCATATGCACACACATGCCTGTATACACACAAACACACGTGGATGTATACACACGTATGTACATATACAGGCATACCGCAGAGATACTGCGGGTTCGGTTCCAGACCACCGCAATAAAGCGAGTCACATGAATGTTTTGGTTTCCCAGTGCATATAAAAGTTATGTTTACACTATACTGTAGTCTATTAAGTGTGCAATTGCATTATGTCTAAAAAACAATGTACGTACCTTAATTAAAAAATCCTTTATTGCTAAAAAATGCTAACCATCATTTGAGCCGTCAGCGAGTCGTAATCTTTTTGCTGGTGGAGGGTCTTGCCTCGATTTGTAAAAAACGCAATATCTGCGAAGCACAATAAAGAGAAGTGCAATAAAACGAGGTATGCCTGTACATGCATACACATGTACACACACACATATACACACACACACACAAAAGAACTCATTTTTTCACATTCCCAAAGCATAGGCAGCGGTTCCCAATGGGGTGCCCATGAGCGCCATGGCACCCCGCAAGGTTTATTCCGGTGCCCATGCACGTTTTCATGATCAGTAAAAACCATTATTCCAACAAAAAATTCTGTCACTGCCGACTGAACTCAAAACAGCAACGCTTCAAAAAAATGTTCACAGGCTGTATGCACCAGCCACCAAAATGAGACTGCGTCACTCAGACTGACGCTGTGATAGAGTGGCGCTTAGTACACCCTCCCCAAACAGAACAAGGCGCGCGCACATATCCTGGATCCGAAATTCTAAACTTTAATATTCATGTTTATGCCCCTGCTTTTTCTTTTAAATTTGAATATGCCCTTAGGCACATAAACATTGGGAACCCCTGGCATAAACTTTAAGAACAACACCAAAAAGCATAAAAGTTGGCAACGCTGAGCTGCACACAGCTGCTTGGAACTTGACAAACTCCGCATGGATAAATCTGGTCCTCTCCTGCCTTAAATGTGCAAGCCCTGACACTACGGCTATAGGGAGAGGGCTTTTAAACACATTGGTGAGCAGTGCCCCACAAACTCACTCGGCTTTTGCTGGAGTATTGACAGTATCGATACTCTGTTTAAACTGAAAAATGCTGAAATCTAATTCGATCTATAGCCAACAAACACTTGTATCCAGGTATTTGTATCCATGGCATACAAATACCATCCACTGAGTGTCAATGGTCCCTTCCATTCTGTTCCAAATGCAAGATTCCCAAATCTGCTATATATGTTATTTATGGTTCAGAAATTATCAAGACTTGATCTCTATCGAAGTGGGGGAGTTTCTGCTTTCATAATCCTTCTCTGGGCAGCTGAGAAGAAAAATGATGTACCCAAAAAGTCTTGATGTTTCTGTATTTTCTTTTTAGTGACCAGTTTTCAGAAGGACCGAGCATGCACAACTCCAGTTGAAGCCCGCAAGAGCTGCGGTTCCCCACACTTCTGAAAAGTAGGTGTTAGCCTGTTTTGTTGTATACTTAAGTTGCAGATACCAAGTCAATACCCTGAGAGCAAACTGCCTGTTTTACATCAGCTGCTTCTGTTTTCCCAGTTCAGTGTGTAGTGCATCTCATGTGATCCTCTCAAGCAGAGAGAGAGGACTTTGAAGACTTTAGAACGGACGCCTGCATCAAAAATATGAATCAACACTTTTTTTCCAACTGTTTTTCTCACATTTCTGTTTTATTTGTTCAACCTTTGGAAAGTGTACTGAACGCTTATAAACAATATGTCATATCCTCCTCTTCCAATTTATGATACTTGGTTCAGGTTCCAAGTGCCTAATTTCCCACTCCCATGCCTGAGCTTGGGAATTAATGTAGTGCTTATGAAAACTGCCAGTCGGCTAAACAGAGGTGAATACTGAGGTCTGTTGTTTATCCAGCCAAGATGCAGCATGGGCAGGAGCACAACTGAGTTAGTTACTTTTCATTCTAATGCGCCTTGGTCTTACCCTTGGAATACGAGGTGCATTATGAGGTGTATTCTCCCTTTGGCTTTTCCTTTACAACTGCCGACAGGATTGTCAATTTTACTTGCAGACTTTCTCCATTAGGCAGTAGACCTCCAGTTTATTTCACAAGAACCTCCAAAGAGCCATTAGAGAGCAGCCATTTGGGGGGACATTACCAAGCTAGACTAGAATGACAGGGATGAATAATATTTCACATCATGGTGCCAATTCCTTCAGCCATCCATTTCTCACAGGCCCATGTCTTTATTATTAGCTTGTCAGATATGGGTGATGTGGGATATTAGTTGGTACGTTCATCTGAAAGAATAAAGAAAAATGAGACCAACGGCTATGCACCCAAAGAGCTTTCAGAGCCTCCGAGTGAAACAGAATTCCTGATTTACTCTCTTAAACAGCTGGAGTTTTGCTCTTGATGTAAATTAAATAAACCTGAAAGAGGACAAGGGAGGTCATACAGTGCTACTGTTTGGTCACATATGTTACATGTCTCAACCTTTTTGGAGTCGAGGTACCCCTTCTTAGACTTGAGACATCCCTTGAAAAATGCCAGATCTTAATTTTCACTTTTTTTAACTGCAGAAAAACACTAGAACAATTCTTGTGTTGCAAGAACAGAAAGACAACAGGTCAGAATATTTTGAACACTCTTGATTCCTATGTGAAAACTCTAGTTTTATCTTGTGAATCATACTTGCACACCTAACAACGCTAACATTGTGTGGCAACCCACAGCATCCTTGAATGGATCTCAAGGCACCCCAGGGTGTCATAGAATCATAGAACTGGAGGACCGGAAGGGACCTGTAAGATCATCAAGTCTGGTCCCCTGCTGTGGACAGGAAGTTATTGGGCTCAGATGAGCTCAACAAGGCACTCGTCCAGCCTCTTGAACACCTCCAGGAATGGCAATTGCACCACCTCTGCTGGTAGTGTGCTCCAGATTGTGGTGACCCTTACAAAGAAAAAGGTTTTTCTTATGTCCAGCCTAAATTTACCCTTTATTAGCTAATGCCCATTGGTCCTCATCTGCCCTTGAGGTGCGTTCCTGAAGAGTTGCTCCCCTAGATTTTGATGGTCCCCCCTGACCTACTCCTGATGTCATGGTACCTTGGTTGAGAATCACAGTTCTAGTTACTTCTGTTCAGGATCACAAAGTCACAGTTAATATAGGGCTTATCTACTGTGGGTATTTTTGCACAGATGAGTAAGAAAACAGAATTGTAACAAACCAAACCAGTACAAATAAGCTTCTGTAAAACTTAGGGAAATGTAGTCACAGGCAGCTACTAGAAATCTTCAGGATGACCTAATGCTAAACCTCTGGGATTTGATCCTGCTGGAAATTGGAACATGTAGTTTCAGAAATGTAATGTCGCTAGCAGTCAAGTAGTTAAAAAAAGCTTAAATCAGTTTTGTAAGTGTTAAACCTGTAAAGCATTTTGGCCATCCTGGATTGGACATAATTACACTGTGGAAACCATTTTGAAGGCCTAGTCTCTACTACAGGGTTGCTGCTGATGCTGTATCTTGGGTGGGCAACACGGGTCCCCTGTTTTAAACACAGCATACACTGGTGGTTCCCAGTCTCTGGTACTCGTACTACCAGTGGTATGCAGACAATCTGTCAGTGGACACATTAAGTTAACAGATTTAATATCACTACTTTATATGACAAAAGTTTTCTGGAGGTTAAGGAAGGTTGATCTGAAAAATTTGCTGGTGATACTTAAGCTTGTAGTGTTGCAAATCGGTGGTGCATAATCTGTCAGAGTTTGGGAACTGCTGCACTAATAGAAGTTCCTTAACTGCTGCAAGTCACACCTCCTCCCCTGAACAGCAGAAGCTGCTAGCAGAGCTGTGTCTGCACTAGCAGAGCTACGTCAGTGAAAGGGGTGATTCTTTTACACCCTCATCCGACACCGCTCTGCCAATAGTGTGTTGTCATATAGACAAACTTGCGCATTTGTTCGTGTGCTTCACATTTCTTAAAGTTCCTCATATGGGAAAAACCAGGCTGGTATTAATGCATTTATCTGTCAGCTATGGTGATCAGAAATTAGATTACTAAGGATTTCTTTGATGTTCTGAAAAGAATTTCACACCTTTGTGAATGACACTTGGCTGCAGGAACAAGAAGGTCCACCTTGTGGGTAATGCCTGACCTCTCCTTGCATTAAAATGTACAGCCTTTGTCCAGCTAAAATAAGGATTTTGATTCAGATGAACCCCTCATCCCACAAGACAACCACGTTTGGTTTAAAGCAGTGTTTTGCAACCGCTGGGCCATCAGACATGAGCAGGTGTGCCACAAATCTTAGCTGTGGCAATGAGCTACAGTAGGTATGAGGATGGGGAATGCCTTAACAAGTGCGCCACGGAAATTATTTTTATTAACATAAGCTTGCCTCGGGCTGGGAAAGGTTAGCAAACACTGGTCTAGAGAAATTTGCAAAACAGGTACCAATCTACTCAAATCCTTTAAAAAAAATGACATTTCACCATAACTAGCGTTGGATTTTTCTTTTTCTTGTCACTCTTTCTTTCTGCCTTGTCTTTTCCACACTTTGGGGATCCGCTTTCCCAGTGCAGGTGAATCTTCTACACGTGATGCGCATATAAGCACATTTCAGAAGAAAATGTACTAACCCCCCAAAACACTCCCACATTTCCCCCCTCTTTATCCTGAAGAGAAAAGGGCTTTCCCCTCCCCCTGTCCCAACCCTCTCCTTTTTCAGCCTCTCCTCTATCCCTCCAGCCCCTCCCTCCCCGCCTCCCACAATGCAGCGGGACGAGCAGGCGGGGCCAGGATTCCCACCGAAGCCTTGCAGCTGCTCTGCCAGTAGTAGAGCGGCGCCCATCTTTACTAAGGGCAGCCCGGTTTCTAGGCGCAGGGGGGCAGCCATCTTGAGAAAACGCCCGAGTCGCCTTCGGCACCATTGGTCATAGTGGCGTGGCGGCCATCTTGGCTAGGGGCAAAGCCTCGATCCTGACCCAGTTTAGCGTCAGCTGACCGGTGCGTTTCCACCATGGCCGCCCGGCAGCGGAGGTGGGGGTCGGCGGGCCGGCTCCTCGGCCTGCTGTGGCTGGCTTGTGTCACGACGCGGGCCGTCGAGCCGCCGCCGCCCAAGTGCGACGAGCTGAGGATGGGGCAATATCCTCTGCAGCCTGGTCCCGCGGGCATCAGCCCCGGCCTTCTTTGGGCCCCAGGGCCCCTCCTCAGGGCAGGGGCAGGGGATGGGAAGAGGGGGCGCCGCCGGGGTGGTGGGCTCTGATTCTAAACCAAAAAAAAAGCAACCCCGGCTTTCCTTAATGCCTTGCACATATATCTGCGAAGATCCCAAAATAGACAGTGGCACTCAGGAACCCATGAACTGCACGAACCACACGGCTTACGGTAAGGCTGGCGAGCGGTTCAAGAGCGTCTGCGCAGTCGTGTACCTGCCCTGGTTTCACTGTTGCAGACTCCTAGAGCGCACATTGCTTTTACAGGTGGGCGAGGTTCCTCGGGTCAATCAGAGGTCTCTTGCCATCTGCTTTTATAGGGGATCCTGGAGATGTAGGGGTTGAAGGGACTTCTAGAGGTCCCCCAGCACTGTGCTTCTCTGCCTGTGGGTTGTGACCCCTCTGTGTCGCCAGAGTATATGAAAGAAGATGTGAATATGCTTTGAAAATGGATTGTCAGACTTTAAAAATGTATTTTTCTTTCCAGGAGAAAAAAATAGGGAAATTGTGGGTTTTCCCTTGCAGGGTGGCAGAGCTCCACACGTGCACACCACCTGCCCCGCACACCTGGGGCCGGGGGGGGGGGGCAGTGGATCAGGTGCAAGGGGGACTGGGTTGCAGGACTGGACGCAGGTGTGGGTGAACTAGGCAGCTGCCAGGGGCCCAGACAGAAAGGGGGCCCAAAAATGGTGGTGATGATGATAACAATATCATCATCATCACATGATTATTATTATTATTGCTACTACTATTATTATCATAATCTAATAATAGTGATAACAATATCATCTTATTCTCATCGTCATCATATAATATATCCTTATTATCATTGTCATCTAATAATAATATCATAATTATATTATTATCTATTAATAACAATATTATTATTATTATTATTATTATTATTATCATCATCATTATCTCCTGCAAAAGGGGGCCGGATGCTAAAAGTTCTCCCAGGGCCACTGGGAGTCTAGGTATGGTGCTGCTGGGTCGGGACTGGCCATCACTGTTTACAAATGGGTCCTGGTACAAAAAAGATTGAAAACTGTTGATCTAGTCCAACCTTCTGCCTGAGGCAGGATTATCCCTATCCAGACATGTTTCTTTGGTTTAGCTTTTACCTTTTTATAATGATGATGAAAACAAGTGACACCTGCTCTGTTATGTCTAATGCATGTTTACTGGAAGAGAAGAGTGCCTTTGAAGAATTCTTCCTTTCTACAGGTCACTTCTTGCATGTCCAAGGCAGGCAAGGTTAGGTTATCTCTGTGTTGAACTTCAACACACTCACCTCACTACTCACCTAACTGCCAAAAGGTGAAACCTTAACTTTGTCTTTCAACTCACTTGTGTTAGATCTGGGTGGTGTTCTCAGACGGTGACGTTAACAGCCTGTGACAGCAGTAATGTGGCAGATAATATAAAAATGTTCTATGAGTATTCAAAGTTAAAACTGAATATACGTGGTTACAGTAGCTGTCCTTGTAACCTTTATATTCAGTCTTGTACTACTTTTTAATAAGTTGCTCAGATAGCCAAAAGAATGGGATTTTCAAAACCCCCTAACCAGGAATTAAACTTTATACTGTAATCAAGATCCAGCAAGCATTCTTCTGTAGCAAAGAACTCAAAGACCACAAGTCAAAATGTTTTTAACACTATAAAGTCCTATTGGGAAACTCTAGGTTTCTCTTATGAATCATGTTTGCACACCAAATTGTATTAATACTTTACGGCACCCTGTAGCACCCTGGTTGAAAATTGCTGGATTCTCTCTTCACATCTATGTTGACCTTTGAAGGATCTCTCTACACCCTGGTTGAGAATCACTGCTCTAAAATACATCTTAGGCCCAAACCTACAAATACTTAAATATATATTTAATTTCAAGCATATGAGTACCAGTATTCTCATTTAAGTTGCAGGACTAGAGCATTTTGAATAATAATTTGCAACTTTTATGATCTTATTACATTTCTGTTGATTACATTCCCTGTGAGCCTCAAAAGTCCACTTTACATTCTGTGCTTTATTTCGAACACATGCACAAGCACACACAGCCATTTTGGAAAACCTGTCCTACATTACTGGAGGGAGCTCACTACACAGTCATGCAGAACTCAAATGGGTATAATTATATTGAAATCTACCTTTACCTCAACTAACTCTTGAAGCGGTAGCTGCGTGAATCTAACAAATCTGCTATTGATAGGCATTCCAGTCTGTGTTAAAAAAAAATCTAGCTGTTTGTGGACAGTCTTAAAAGACAAACAAAAACAAAGGATAACTATGTGGTGTAGTGTATTTTTTTTTCTCCACCACCTACCTGCTGGTGCCTATATTTCTCCTGAAAAATTAGTGAGGGAAATAGTTCCTTCCCTGTATCTGTCTAGCTGATGTAATATAGAATTAAAAGAGAAAAAAACCAAAATGTTGCCTGGTAAAGGGTTGATGTTGGTATTATTGTGGCTTATTCTCCAAAGGTGTTTTGAGAGAGAAAGTGAGTGGGAGAACAAGAGTCTAAACTCGTGCCTCTGCCTGGTTTCAGAATGAACTAGTCAGATAACACTAGAGCAGTTAGAGTGTGTTACCATTCTGTGTATTTTGAGACACATTATTCAAGTTGCTTGGTATCCCTCAGTAGAACCAAAACCCTAAAAACCTGAAAAATACAATGGAATAATAATTGTGGGGCCTCAGTTTGGTGGCTTAATAGTTACTGTAACAAAAAAGACAACTTGATATCGATAACAGATTTAAAAGACTTGACTAGTCACACCCTTCTATGTTTTTTTTTCTTATATTCTCTATCTTCATTTTAGTGTGTATAGGACTTGACTTGATTGTTTGCTTAGCTATACATTTGTAACATGCTGATATACATTACAATGCATGGCCTGTTGTTGCTTAAATACAGTTTTTTGTCCTCAGTTCAGTGTCTTCCAGCACCAAATATTACTTGTAAGGATCACAGTGGCATAGAAAAAATCTTTACTGGAAAGGAAGTTGGATTTTACAAGCCTATTGAATGCCGTAATGTGTAAGTAAATGATTGTGCTTTGCAATACATTAGTCCCTGTTTCCATGCTTAGTTTTTTTAAAATGGTACAGCGTGTGTTGCCTGGGGAATGGGGAAATGAATTTATATTTAATACTGTAAGTTAGAAGAATTGGTCACCAGAAACACTGTGTACAAATGTTACATTAACTAGCATGTTCTTACAACATTGTATAGCTTAATGGTAAAAATATAAATCCTATGAGCAAAGCTGGTTTTGAGCTGCACATTTTGTATTCTGTCCTGATGTTGTATATGAGTCTTTGGTTCTGGTAGTAGTTGCTGTGTGCCAGGAGACTGTCAGCAAAGGTCTGTTGACAAAAAATTGAGTGCTTCCCCACTCAAAGCTCTTGTGTGGCAGCAGAACCCCCTGGCAGCTGGCAGAAGGCATGTGTAGACACTATCTTGCCTTCCACAGCTGCAGCAGTCCCTTCAGCAGCTGGTTGCTTTTCCACATTGTGGCAGCACAGCTGCTGCAGTGGAAGCGACTGTGCATGCAGTGTGATGTCAGTGTAGCTGGTCTCTGCTGCTAGACTCAGATAAGTGTGGACAAAGTGTCCTAGGTATGGAAAATGAATGGTGAACTGAACCCTGTTGTAGTTTAATTCAGGGCTGTTTGTCCTGAGTTTTTTTGCACCGAAACAGTTATTTACACAGCAGCTTGACTGGCCTTCCTTTCTCCAGTCTTTGTGAGAAGGTATTTAGCAGAATTTGCAGATTCCTTGGAATCTGACAGGCCTGACCCTTAGCTTCTGCTATGACCTCAAACTTGCAACCTCTGGGCTGTCAACCATGCACCCTAGCACTCAGCTTGAATGGCAGTTATTGAATGGAATTAGCCAGGAATGTTGGGACAAAGTATTATTTCAGATGCTTCACAGGTACCTAAAGTGGGACAGTGAGGGTATATATGTACAAGATCCCAAAATAAAATTATTCATTCTGGAGTACAGGGTCATCTGTTTTTAGCCTGAATTTAGAGGAACAGTATTCACTCTTTTTTTTTGGTATGAGCTGATGTTTACAAAACAGTTACATTTATTACAGGACTCAATAGTGTTTTTTAAATGTAAACAAATTAAATTGGCTGAAACTTAGTCTATATTAGAAAGTGCCTTCAGCAGAAGCATGTCAGGTGGGAGCAGAAAAGCTCATACCCTGTATCCAACATAATCTGCAGCTCTCTCAGACTAGAAACAAACTTTGGGTGTACCCCAGGTGTGTTTCTCCTGGGATTTTACATAAAAACAGGCACAGAGTAGTCATTTACACATACAATGGCAGTTAACTCAAATTAGACCCCCCCCACACACACATTTTCAGGTGGGAAGGAGAGTTATTTTGGTAATTTGCAGGTAGAATTAAAGTGGGACAATGGGTTTGTACCTTGTAGGATGTCTTTTTTTTAATCTCATTGTGAGCACACCTCTGTTCACAGAGGCTGTTTTGCAAGCAGAGCAATGTTCAATCTATAGGGCTTTGCTGCCCTAGTGCTGTCCCCTTTGTTTAAGTGGCAAGAGCCTCACAAAGTAGACCCAGTCTTAGTTCTTCATTCAGATCATGGGCAGTGCAGACCATTAAGCCTGGATTAAATCAGTTGCAGCACTTAAAAACCTACCAGTAAAGTTAAGGGAATTCCTGTCTGTTTTCTCCTTTATTGGGAAGTTGCAAGTCTTTTGTAGATAAAATAGAATCTTGAAGTCACAGCTCCAGCAATCCTAGCTGAACCTCACCTGCTGTGCTAATCGGGAAGCCAGTTAACTTTAATTTAATACTCTTAGTAGTCAATAGTTTGCTTACCTCGGCAAGCTCTGTATCATTCAACCAGTTTTATGACTTTTTTTTCTTTACTTACCATCTCAAACTGTCTAAGCTCAGCACACTCAAAGCTAACATAGCCAGCATTAACTGCCACCTAAGCAAATTTTGGTCACTGCTTTCTCCAGAGAGTATAGCTTTTCAGCCACATCTTCCAAGAACAAGAAAAATATCAAACTTAATGTGCTGAAGTTTCCTTCCTTCCTCCCTCACTGTAACAAAGCAATTCCTAGGTTTATTTTCACCTCATTATATTTTTCTGGCTAATATTGTATGTAGCAGCTTGCTTGTTAAACTTTTATTTGCTTCATGACTAGACTAAGTTCAAGGAACAAAACCATGCATTTGTCATAGAATCATAGAAAATTAGGATTGGAAGGGACCTCTGGAGGTCATCTAGTTCAACCTTCTGTTCAAAGCACAGTGGCCACAAACTCCTAGAAGACTGTTTCAGACTCGACATTAGGAATTAACTTCTTCACAGTTAGGGTGTCCAGACTGTGGGATAAGCTCCCTCCACAGGTGGTGTAACCACCTACCCTGGAGATCTTCAGGAGGAGACTGGACAGTCACCTTGCTGGGGTCACCTGACCCCAGTTGTCATTCTGGCCTGGTACAGGGGGCTGGACCTGATGATCTTTTAAGGTCCCTTCCAGCCCCTTACAATCTATGAAAGCAGGACCATCCCCAACTAGATCATCGCAGCCAAAGCTTTGTCTAGCTGAGTTTTGAAAACCTCCAAAATGGAGCTTCCACCACCTCTCTGGGTAACCTGTTCCAGTGTTTTACTACCCTCCTAGTGAGAAAATTCTTTTTGAAATCTAACCTAAACTTCCCTTGCTGCAACTTGAGACTGTTGGTCCTTGTTCTGTCATCTGCCGCCACTGAGAACAGTCTAGTAGTATTGCCAGCCCAACTGTGCCAAAAGTCATGAGACGAACTTTTAAAAAAATCAGGAGAGAGGCATGTAAATCATGAGATACTATTTTTGAAGCGTGTGTGTGGGAGGTGTTATTTGTGAAGGTGTGGGGGGGCTGTGGGCATGTATGTGGGGTTTGGAGCCTGTGGGGGGAGGGTGCCCATACACCCTGGCAGGATGTGGGGTACTGTGGCTCAGGAGTGAGATGCAGCAGGGCTGGGGGGGTTGTGGCTTGGGAGTGAGGAGCAGACACAGACAGCACCCAGCTGGTAGGTGGAGAGGAAGGGGCCAGGGGTTGGGGAGGCTGAGGGAGGGAGTGGGGCAGGAGCAGTGGCTGGGATGAATGGGGCCCCAGGTCTGGGGCGAGTTGTCCAGAGGTGCGGAGGGGGGGTGGGGGAGAGCAGTGCAGCTCCCTGCAGGAGTACACACACCCCGGGGAGGCATGGAGGATACATGCCCCCCATGGGGCAGAGGCAGGCTACCTGCTGTGGGGTCAGGGCTCTGTGCCCTCCTGCCTTTGCCCCAGGGGCTCAACCTTGTGATGCCATTGCTGCTTGCTGGGTGGGCAGGGGATGCAGGGTGTGCTGGCCGTGCAGCGTGTCCCCTGCCTACCCAGCGGCAGGAAGCACACAGGCATCACATGGCTGAGCTCCCCGGGGAAAAGCAGCAGGGCACAGAGCCCCAGGTCCTTGGCAGGCAGCCCACCTCTGCCCTGCCAGGAGTACATGCCCCCATGCCTTCCCTGGAGGTGCATGCTGCTGTGAGGAGCTGCACCCCCTGCACCTCTGGACAACCCGCCCCAGCACTGGGGCCACATTCACCCCAGCCCCTGCCCCACTCCCTCCCTCACAGTAGGGGCCTCAATCTCCCCCCTTCTCCACCTCCTGGCCTGTTCCCCTCCACAGACTTACCAGCTGGGAAAATCTGGAGATCTGAGGGTTTGATTGGAAGATCAAGAGTTGGAGTTATTTTTACTTAGAAATCCTGAGTCTCGCAGTGGTTTTGTGACAGTTGGCATTACTGGCTTAGCTCCATCCTCTTTGGAACCTCCCTCCATGTAGTTAAAAGCTAGTATTAAATCCCCTCTCAGTCTTGTCTTCTCCAAACTAAATACGCCCAGTTCCCTCAGCCTCTCCTTGTAAGTCATGTTCCCTAGCCCCCTCACTGATTTTGTTCTGCTCTGCTGGACTCTCCAATTTGTTCACATCCTTTCTGTAGTGGGGGCCCCAAAACTGAACCCAGTACTCCAGATGTGGCCTTACAGTCCCTGTGAACTGGCTCTCACTTGGTAAGGAAGAAGCTGTGGCACCTCAAAAAGACTTGCTCCATCTTTACAATCCAATGTCTCTTCACAAGAAAATAAACAGCTTCCAGTTGCATCATTGCAAACTGTTGTACGTTTCAGCACTGGTTACCAGTAAAGTTCTGCTATCATTCCCTTGAGAAACTATTAGCAGACTTATTTACCCTTTTAAAAAGTAAAAACTAAGCTTAATATTCCTAAGTACTCATACATGTAATAAAAACATGTAATAAGTTAGTCTGTGTATAGGTAGTTCTAATGAATGCATGCATAGTCAGAATTTTTATTGGCCTTTTGTATGGGTTCTAAGTTAAGGTTACCATATTTTAAATTCCAAAAAAGAGGACACCTGTCCAAAAAAGAGGACACTTGTCAGGGGGGAAGGTATCTGATTGTGGGGGGGTCAGTCATATGCCACCCTGCCGCAGCCCGGCCAGTGCCACTCATTCCCAACCGACAGCCCCCCATCCCTGCCAGTGCCCTCCACTCCTGACCAGCAGTCTGTTCTGCCCCCCCAGTGCCCCTCACTCCCAACCTGCCAGGCTCCTCCTCCTCAGTCCTGCAGCCTCCTCCTGTCCCACCCAAGCAAGGCCACTGGCTTGCTGCCACCAAAGGGCCCCCCTTGCCCTGCTGCAACTTTGGTGCCCAGACACCTTCCCCCAGTGCCAACAGGCACCTGCCCCCCCTCACACACCCATTCCCCACCCCTGGCAGTCCCCATGCCCTGGCCCTCCAACCCCTGCTGCCCATAGACTTACCTACATTCAGCTGCTGGGGCTGCTCCCACCACCCTGCCTGACTGCATGCTGGCCAAATGGTATGTGTGCACACACATGTGGCACCCCCTGCCTCCAGTTGCCTACCCTCTGCCTCCAGCAGTGGTAGCCTTAGGGTTGTTGGGGCCCTAGGCAAGAGAGTCATTTGGGGATACTCAGAGGCTTAATTTTGATGACCTATGAGCAAGTTGGACGTTTTCAATTTCAGTTACACTTTGCCCTACCTATGAAACTGCAATGAAAGTATCTTAATACAATATTACTAATACAAATATTCATTGTAATTAATTTTTACTTTATAAAGTGTGGAGCCCCAAGCGGTTGCCTGGTTTGCCCTTCCCTAAGGCTGCTACTGCCTCCCATCACCCTCCCCCCACTTCTCCCCAAGCAGCTCCTTGTTGGGGGGAGCCAGGAAATGCCAGGAAAAAACACTGATGCTAAGCAGAGCAAAATCCTGGACACTTAATCATATTATAAAAAGCCACCTGGACAGACATCGGAGGATCCAAAAGGAGGGCATGTCCGGGGAAAACCTGGACATACAGTAACCTTATGTAATTCCATTTCAAATTGTTACCACAGTATTCTCCCATTTGATAATATATTAGGAAACATACCCATCATTCAGTGGTTCTTTGAGTGCCTTGCTGAGTTATATTAGAGAACTTAAGCATTGTCTACCAGAATTATATACAACTTAAAACGAGAAAAACTTTTAAGAAATAACCTTTTCTCAAATTAAGTTTGTACTGATGTTTAATATTTATGTGGCATTTTTCACTTTTTCATTTCTGTGAAAAGAGCACACTAATCCAAGGCAGGGGCCTTTTTCCCCTGTGTTGAATGAAGAAAAAAGTCTTGGATTTGAGTAAATATGATATTTACAGAAAACCATTAGGAAGAGCAGCTTAATTATGACCTACTGTAATAGTCTTGCATTTTTTTTTTACTTGAACAAATGAGTAAGACTAAAAGAAGGAAAAACGTAACATTTCCTATGGCATTAACATGTTTCCATTTTGTAGCAAATATTTCTCCTCCTCTTCCCTCCGATTTCATTCTTATGTGGTACAAGTGGTATTACCTGCTTATATACCTGTAGCCTTAAGGATTTATGCTCTCTTTCAAAATATTAAATTACATAGAAGCTGCAAATTCATTAGACCAATGAACCCATCTGGAATGGGTATTAACATGGAGGTAATTTTGTGTTCCTACATACAAACTTTTATATTGAAATTGCCTTTGTGCATTAGTGTCTGTTTGGTTGTTGACACTTCAAATTGATTAACATAACTAGAGGTTTTATCTTAGCTTTTTAAATGAAACCATTAGCATTCTTCACTACTGAAAGGAAACTGTTTTCAAGACAATGATTTGTTATTTTTCACTGTGCTCAGGAAGGCCCAGTTTGTTCCATAGTATTTATACACAGAATAGCACTGAAGTAACAGTCGCAGTTTAATCACTTAATGTCGCCATTAGGTTTTAAAGTCAATATATCCAGATAATAAGCAAAATTGTAAATCTCTGTTTGGCATAAGAAATGCTTTATTGCAGGTGTTTGGATTCCTACATGTCTGCCGCCTTTGAGAAATCATTTTATTCAGCTGTTATCTAAGGGCTTGTTTTGGCCATTTTCACTAATTGGATGCATTGCCAAGTGTCAACATCAGAATAGTGGATTGGTGCATACTTTTACAGTTCTAGTCACACTCTGGTCTGTTCCTCCTTTCTATGGCTAACTGCTCCCAAGTGCAGCCACCAGTGGCTTTAGGATTGTTAAAAGCATTTGTAGCCATTTGTCCTTACGTCACTGATTTAGCACTGAGCATAGGTAGGGACCTACCAAATTTGAGGAGGCTACCTCTAGTTTTGGGAGCAGAACGCAGGGCCTGGCAGCCATTTTGTGGGTGGGGCCCCCATGATAGACAGCCCTCAGAGCCAATCAGCAGCAAGAGGTGGGGGTGACAGCCATCTTGCCAGCATGCCACCCTCCCCCTTCCCTGGTGGGCTGCTGCAGCGCCCTTAAGACTGCTGGCTCCTTCTGGGGAGCTAAGATTTTATTTTCTATACATTTTTTTGGTCCCCCTTCTCCCCCCCCCCTGGATTTTGCAGGCAATACAGGTTTTGGAAAATCCATGAAATCACAATTTCAGTAGGTCCCTAGGCATAGGTCAGTAGTGCCTGAAAGGTGCCAGCATCAAGATGTCCATACCACAGATCCCAACAGTAATTGGCACTCTCTTGACCACCTCAGAAGAGGGGGTAAAGACCTGTTGTGTGCACTAATTGTGAATACTAGCTAAGTATGGAAAGCCCCTGGTGGAAGGTGCTCTCACTGTCGTATTTTACTCAAAGTGCTGTAAGTTAGAGCACGTTCCAACCAAACAGATGTGCTGGTCGGTGGAGGGAGCTCGGTGCCTGCCTGCACTGGCCAAGGTCAGCGGACAGGAGGTGCTCCCACGTGCCTCCCAGGAGGCTGCAGGAGAACTGTGCTGCACCCCTCCTCCCCCACCAGCTGGTGATGGTCAGCAGTGGGCAGGGGCAGAGGGCAAGGGGAAAGGGAACCCCCCACTGCAGGGTCTCCGCTACAGTCTGCTAGCTGGGGTCTTGAGGGGGAGGCTCCTTCCACTTGGCCCCGTTTGCAGTGCAAGGAATTGCCTGTCCGGGCTGCCCCTCCTGCAATTGCTGGTGCTACTGCCAAGAAGCTTGGGCAGGGGGGAAAGGTCCCCCACCACAGGGACCCAGCTCAGCCCCTCCCACCTCCCCAAAGACCCCAAATAGCAAGCTGTGAGAGCCCTTGCGGCAGGGGAGTTCTCTTTCCCCTGTCCCAGCTTCTTTACAGCAGCAGCTTAGCCTCACATTTTGCTGCACTGGGAATTGGGGCCCAAGGGGGTGGCAGGGGAAAGCCCTGTGTGGACTCAGGGTGACCCCCACAATCCAGCAAACTGTGCGGAGGGCCCTTGCAGCAGGGGGCTCACCCCCCCCACTCCTTCCCTCCAGCCACAGTTCCTGACAGAGCAAAAAGCTGCAGCTGCCAGGTCACTCAGGGAGCGGGGCTGAATGGAGCCCCTTGCCCGGACCTGGCCCTTTCCTGCTTCGTCCCCCCACCGTCAGCAAGCTGTGGGGTGGCACTCATGGCAGGAAGGGCTCTGTGTTAGAGTGGACATGTACATGGATAGTATTGCTATGTTGAAGTTTCTATGTTAACTTTTGGAAGTAAACTAAAATTGTTAAACTAAACAACACAAGTTTCATCTTGCATAAACAGAAACTGGCAATAGTACATAATTTCTAATTAAATTACTCAGAAAATGCACAGGTTAATATCTTGTTTCAACTATGGCTTTTCTTTCCTGTTTCTTGGCAGAAATGGATACTCGTATAAAGTGGCAGTTGCTTTGTCTTTATTTCTTGGGTGGCTGGGAGCAGACAGATTTTATCTAGGCTATCCTGCTTTAGGTAAGCTTGTTTTTTCTGGATTTGCTTTTAAATAAAAGCTAGTTCTATATTACTGCAATTTACATATATACTTGTGTCTGAAGTACTGACCTGTCAATGTATTCAAATTTACAACTGTATTTTTGATTTCACTTCAAAAGCAAAGCAGTATATAGATCAGCCTCCTAGTGTCAGTGTGTTAGCCATTTAAATGGACACAGAGTCAAACAGATTGTTATTTTAAGTCAGGGCTTTCCAATTTCAAAGCAGCTAGGGACCACGTGTCCTAAAGGCCATGCCAGTAGGGGCCCTACACTGCAAGGGCAGCAGTAAGATGTACCATGACCCCCAAGACTGCACACCCAGACTCCTCCATCGTTGCACTGTATGGGTGAGTGCTCCCTCCACTGCACCCTACCTCCCCTTCCTCTCCCTGTGGGCTCCTGTGTGGCATTGCACCATGAAGGTGCTCCAAGCTACTAGCTCCCCCAACACTGTGGGCTGCTCCACATCATTTTGTACTGTGCTATCCCCCAAGGCAGGGGCATGCAGCAGAAGCCAAGGGAAGAAGGGGGAGCCCTGAGACCCAGCTGCTATTACAGCTAGAGGAATAAGGGTAGGGGAGTCCAAGGGTTGCCTATTAACCCCTCAGTTCCTCAGTTGGACAGCCCCTTTTTAAGTGAGTATAACTCCTTTTAAAACAAGCAGCAGCAAAGAGGTACTGTGGTTAACTAGGGGGTGTGTTAGCCAATTTGATTTGGTACCATTTCCTTGGGCAAATCACTTCATTTTTCTGAACCTCAAATGGTTATGAAACTCTGAGATCTAATGAGAGAAGCTGTATTTAATATTAATATAATTATATAAGATTTGAACTGGTTTATCCTATCACTGAATTATAATCTTGTCACTCATTTGGGTAATATCTGTCGATTTCTGGCCAGATAGTTCAAATAAGTTTTTAAAATTCTATGTGTTCTCTTTATTAAAAAAAAAAAAGAAAAAGTAGATGTGAAATCAGACATTCCAGTAGGAACCTAAACTGGCCGACTTCCTGTAGTAAACAGATGAATTGTGTACCATATGAAGTCCATTGTACAGTAACTATTTCACCATTATAATTTATAAAATATAATACTTAAACTAAAAGATATGCAGTGTAGGAAGATATTTTTGACGGTGTAGCAGGGCACCAGGGTGCCTGCTACTGGCGGTGGTAATATGGGCCAAACTGCCAATCACCAGGGCAGCTCAGGTGCGGGTTGCTGGAGCAACCAGGTTGGTCACGTGACCAGAAGGGGGCAGGGCTGGGCCCTTATAAACAGCCAGGCCAGAGCCTGGCTGGCAGTTCCCTTCTGGCAACCTGAGGGGTAAGAGCTCTGCGGGAGAGCTAAGCCAAGCAGTGCAGCCTGAGCACCCAGAGGGCTGCATGATGGTCAGGGTGAAGAGAGGCCTGACCAGGAGGCTGTGGGCCAGAGAGCCAGGTGGGCCTGGATTTTGTTGCAGCTGGTAGGCTTACTGTTTTGTTATAGCTGGTAGGCTTATTGTTTTGTTATTGCCAGTAGGCCTATTGTTTTGTTACAGCCGGGTGGGCTTATGGTTCTGTTGTGTATATTGACCGGAGGACTGGGTGAGGCTGTAGGGGAGTGAGGAGGCCTCACAGGAGATCCCCAGTAGTCCGGGGGTTTCCTGGGTGCCCTGTGCGGGCACCGAGCAGCGCCAGGATGGCGTGCCAGCTTGGCACCGGTGCAGTGCGTGGGGTTGAGACCCCAGCCCGAGAGGGCAGTACTCAGCCCAGTGAGGGCATAGGACCCCGAGAAGGGTCAGGGGCCCAGGCACGGCTGCGTGCCACCTGAGCCCCGGCGCTGGTGAAAGCCCGAGACAGGGCTGGCGCGTAGACTCAGCGGGAGCCAAGGGCGTGCGTAGCGCAGGAATAGGCTCAGCGGGAGCCAAGGGCGTGCATAGCGCAGGAATAGGCTCAGCGGGAGCCAAGGGCGCGTGTAGCGCGGAAGCAGGCTCAGCGGAGAGAGCCAAGGGCGCAAGAGCACGGGAACAGGCTCCGAGAGAGCCAAGGGCGCAAGAGGCGCAGACACAGGCCCCAGCAAGGGCAAGAGCGCGGGAAGTGCGTGGCATAGGCCCAAGGGGGGGCCAGCCTGCAAGAGTAGCCCGGGGAGGGCTAGTATAAGATTGGGGCGGCACCGGTTTGGTATAGATGCCCCGGGGAAGGGCGAGCACGCAGTTAAGGGTCCCGGAGAGGGGCAGGCGTGCGAGTGAAGCCTGGAGAGGGGCGGACGTACGGATCGGGGCCAGGAGGAGAAGAGCGCGCGAACAGGAGCCCGGAGAGGGCAGGGCGTGCGGGTAAAGGCCCGGAGAGGGCATAGATCGGAGGCACAAAAACGTCCGGAACAGCTGCGAGGCTTGGGGTGTGCTAAAGGGGAGGTAGGAGGCATGTGTAGCCCATAAGGCTAGGGTGCACCAGGTCACCCATAGAAATTAGGAGACCAAAGGCAGCCTCCCATATTAAACTCTATAAGATCAAAGACGTGGCGGGCAAGAATCTGAGGGTGCTGAGTCTCCTAATTTGGCACGGCAGGGGACACTAGCAGGCACACGGCTGCTCCTAGGCCCCACCCCGTGACAGACTGAATTGTGATGTTCTGTAATTTAGTGAATACTATGTGGTTATTGAGATATTTACTGGGTGAAGGTATTGGTTTAATTTTGGGATGGTTTTCCTTGCAGTAGGAAGAGAGAGACTGATTTAAAATAAACTTATCTGGGGAGGCCAGATTGATACAAAAACACCTGCTGAGCTGCTTAACTACTTCGGACATGCTTAAGCCACCACCCCAGAGGACAGGTCATTAGGTAACAGACAAATGCAGACTGTTTTAAAATACTTATTCCGCTAAATCCTGTGTTCTTACTCTTAAAATAAACACAGCACTGATTTTAAGATGGCTTTTGGTCTGAATACTAGTGGTCACAAAGCCCCAAAAAGAACACCACAGATGCCAAACCCAGTTCAGCCTGGTGGATGGGGACAATTTAAACCCCGAATATTATAGCCTAGGGCCTGGTTTGAGTGGGGGAACTGCAGTAATCCACACGAGATGTAGAAGCACTAGACCTGATAACTGACTTCAGATACCAAAAGGAGGTTCATCTGTAACCATAGCAATATCTTATCTAAATATCTATTTTAAATGTTTTAAAAAACAGTGTTTAATGTCTGAATGATAACTGTGAATCTGCCATTAACAGGCTTGATAGATTCTACTGTTTTGTTAGCTGTTCTTTGTATGTAATTTTCTTAATTAGTATATTAACTCTAATCACTTTCAGATACTACTTTTTATCAAGCTATATTATTGACTTAATAATTTTCTTTTGTGTAGATTTGTAATATGCAACTGAATATTTATTGTGTTTTTATCTTTACCAAGAATTTAAATAATTGTCTTTGGATAAAACTCTAGACGTTCTTAAATTAGTGTCATGATTAATTTAACTTTTAAGAGTTTCTTTCAGTAATTTCAGTTTATTATGCCCCAGCTTATAGTTTATATTTTTAATTTACAATTGATTCAAGCTTCTCTCACAATATTCAAGGCAGTTTGAAGTTTTTGTTCTCCACTTGTATAGTGAAAGTGAAATGTTGATTGGTGAATCTACATGATCAAGTCTTAATTTTTTCTAGCACAAAATAAATAAGTTTTACAGTAAGTACCAAGGGATCTAATCCTGGTTCTTCCTGGGGCGGTGCTGACTATCTTTGGTGATTCTTTTGAAGCTGGGACTATAATGAAGTTACACAAGGTAATAACTATGCTAAATAGCATTTTCAGGATTTGATCCACAGGGTGAAGAAAGGTGACTTTGGTTTCTAAAGTATCCAGGCATCCTATTATGTTAGAACTACTGTCTCATATATTAAAGAATTGTTCGCTTATGTTTAACTCTAGATAATATGATGTAATTGGTAGAGAAGCTAAGTATACTAGTGCCACTTCAACTGCCTCTTAAACGCAAAGTCTTGTTTTTCTAATAATGTTCTCTGTCCTTATGGAGAGTTCTGTGTTAACATCTGTGGTCTCTTTTCTGAGATTCTATAATTAGCATACTTATTTTCCCATCTGTTGCATAAAAAGATTAAATCCTCTAAGATTCCTTTTTTGGAATCAGTTGATAACTCAAGATGTCCATTTTCCATGGTACCAATGCTTCAAGTTGTTTCCTTTTTATCTGTTGGACTTAGAATAAGAATGTGCAATATTTTTAGGTTTCAGACACTTGTATTAAAGGCTTTGCGTACAGAAGGCTTAACTTCTGTATTTCTTGCACTTAAATTGGTGGAGAACAGTGAAGCAGACAGAAAAATCGGTAAATTAATTTTGTATCTTATTGTCAAAAATTTATTGCTTGAGACACCTGCACTATGGCTAACAAATAGAACTATCTGAAACCTTGCAGGTTATTTTTAAGAGGTGACTTGTAAAGCAACAGGCTTCCTTAACCGTGGAAAGAAATCGCCCTTTTTTAAGAGCATGGACTGGTTTGGGGCCTGGATCAGGTCCATAGGCCTACCTCACATGCCAGAGCCAGCATGCAGAGCCAGTTTGATGCAGGTGCCACATGCAGTGTGCGCCCTGGACTGGCCCCACGTACTGCTTTTAGCATACATGCCACCTCTAGCCCTGTGCACTGCATGTAGCATGCACTGACCTTGGCCCTTGCTTGGTACATGGGCTGGTTCTGGACGGGTGCCACGCACAGTGCACAAGCTGGTCTGGTAGGTATGCTGCATGTGGCACCTGCATTGGTTCAGTCCTGTGGGCTGGCTCCAGTGTGCAAGGCTGGTTTGTGGGCCTGATCTGGACCAGACCCAGATCCCGCATGAAGGGGTTGTACATCATCAAGCATGTAGCCAAGACTGGTCTCGCACACTATGTAGCACACTGGGTCCAGGTCCCATGCTGTGTGAAGTCTGTGCCAGATGGGCTCTGCATGCAGCGCACTGG